ATGATAAAATTTTAACAAAATTTTTGCGAGGTGTAGTAGGCTAGGATGGAGGTTTATCAGGTGCCAACTACTCTTGGTGCCGACTGTTTATGCCCCTGGGCAACTGGTTGTCTTTGTTCCAGAATTGGCGACCAGTCGGCCATGGACCCAATTTTAGCAAATACATTGGGTCTTCTACTCTTTGCTTTGTAAAATAATATTTATGGCCCGCCTTATTAGTCATGGTAGCTTGGTGCCAACTAGTTCAACTATATTAGGCTTGCTTTAACTTAGGGCGGAGTCTTTATTTGGGCGTTACCTAGGTGGTTGGACGCCTAATTTGTCGAGCCGCCTGTTTGCCACAATTAATTCTAATTTTTGATCCAATAGGAAGTGTCCTAGGGCCCCTGTTTGCCATAAAACAGTCGACTCTCGAACTTTTTAATTCCATACCTGGGGGAACGACTGGTTACCCACACGGGTTTACCAGGCGCCGCCATTTTTGTTTGAGTAGTAGAGCAACCAGGCGGCGTAGGCCGGATGGTCCCCTTGATTCGCCAAGTGTTGCTTGGCTATTTACTCAAAAGGTGTTCACCTAGTAGGAGTAGTGGTTTGAGAGTTCCTGTTTACCAAAAATAGGCGAACTCATCATACCTTTTAGGTTCCATACTAAGTATGAGAGAGTGACTATGAGTAATCTTAGAGATTACCCAGTCGTCACCACTCCTGCTTGAGTAATAGAGGTACCAAGCGGCGGAGGCCGGGTGATCCCCTTGATTCGCCAATTTTTGTTGGCTATTAACTCAAGAGGTACCCCCTGTACTTATCCCAAGTAATATAGGCGGTCATCCGACTCGGATATCAATTGCTAACACTTGCTCGGTTAGTGTTAGAGTTATCCTTGTCTCAAAATGGCTACGTGGTTGTCCTTGGTGACAGTCGTTTAGGTGTCGTGTACTTAGTTTATAGAGCATTATTCCACCCAAAAGAGAGCTTCTCTCTGCAACGAATATCATCCGGAGGGATGTCGCCGGACGCCTGCTATGATGTTGGGACAGGTCATATTAATTTAAAAGAGATGATCAGTCGACAAGGCGCCTGAGCTGATCATCCGGCCATAGGCCTCGTTTAGTACATGGCGAACAAAGGTGCTAAGTTGCCTTAGACCTCAAGTATAGAAGAGTAGCCGTCTGTTTTGGTTCAGGCGGCCACATTTGATGGAGAGTAGCCGGCTGTATAGTTACAGGCGGCGTGCCCTTCTTTATTCAGTACATATTGAAGAAAGATGGAGAGTAGCCGACTGTGTTACCAGTCGGCATACCCTTCAATTGATGAAAATGGAGAGTAGCCGACTACTAATGAAGCAAGAGACATGCCCCTCTATTTACAATATTAATGAAGAAGAAGAAGAATAGCAAGTTTAATTAGTAGCTCTCGGCTATTTACATCATTCAAAAATAATATTTCTTTAGATTATCGACATTCCAGGTTCGAGGCATGGGTTGGCCGTCTGGTGTTTCCAGACGGTAGGTGCCATCCCTGACCTCTTCATAGATTCGGTAGGGTTCTTCCCAGTTAGGAGTCAGTTTGCCTAACTCATTGGCCCTACCGACTGCTTCCATCTTTCGTAGTACAAAGTCTCCCACTTTGAGTGGACGCTTGTGTACCCTTTTGTTATATGCCCTTGTCATTCTCAGGCGGTAGATTTCATGGCGTAGAGCTGCATTGCCCCTACATTCTGGGAGTGAATCTAATGCCAGGCGCATGGATTCCCAATTCGCTTCTTCGTCATACAACATTATACGAAGAGTTGGCTCATAGTGTTCAATTGGTAGAATAGCTTCTGCTCCATAAGTTAGGAGGAATGGAGTTTCTCCAGTTGCCCCTTTTTTAGTTGTCCTGATGGCCTAGAGAACATGCGGTAGTTTGTCTGCCCATAGGCCACCTTCCCTTTCGATCTTCTTTTTAATACCGTCTGAGATGATTTTATTGAAAGCTTCCACCTGGCCGTTTGCTTGTGGTCGGCCGACTGATGCAAAGCAGTAAGAAATACCTTGGTCTCCCAGCCAATTTTTGAGAACATGCACCTCAAACTGGGGACTGTTATCAAAAACCATAGACATGGGTACCCCAAATCGACTGATGACATTTTTCCATATAAAGGAGATCACGTCTTTAGTCTTGATACCCTTAACTGCCTCTGCCTCCACCCACTTGGTGAAGTAGTCAACTACAACCAGTATATACCGTCTACCGCCTGTTGCAGGTGTATAGGGACCTAGGATATCCATGCCCCACTTAGCGAATGGTATAGGACTATGGATGGCCGTAAGGTCTGTGGCCGGACGATGGATTAGCTTGCCAAACCTTTGGCACTTGTCACATTTTTTAACCATTTCCATGGCATCAGCTTCCAAGGTAGGCCAGAAGTAACCTTGCCGCCTGGTTCTTTGAGCAAGCGATCTACCGCCTACGTGAGAAGCGCAGTACCCTGAATGTAGATCTTCTAAGACCTTTTGTCCTTTTTCTAGGGTAACACATTTCAGGAGGGGCTGAAGATACCCTTTCTTAAAAAGTTCCCCTTTACACATCTCAAAGTTGGACGCCCGTTTTTTTAGTAAGGACGCCTGGGAGTAATCACTCGGCAAGGTGCCGGCTGTTAAATAGGCTCGAATGTCATCCATCCAAGTTGAGCTTCTATCAAGGATTCCAATAGGCTCTTCCTCAACGCTTCGTTTCTCCATAACTTCCCAGAAAACGGTCCTTGGTGTGTCACAGGAGGCCGAGGATGCTAGCTTAGAGAGGGCGTCCGCTTGATTATTCTCGGACTTGGGTACTTGAGTTAGATGAAATTCCTCAAGTGACCCAGTCGCATGTCTTACCGCTTGTAAATATTTAATCATGGCCGGATGGGTGTCTTTATAATCACCATTGTACTGACTTACTATCAATTGTGAGTCTGAACAGGCGGCTATCTTCTTTGCCCCAGCCGCCTTGCACATGCGGATACCGGCTAGCAAAGCTTCATACTATGCCTCGTTGTTTGAGGCTTGGAAGTTAAAGCGTAGTGCATACTTATACCTGTCGCCTTCGGGCGACTGACATATGATGCCTGCTCCACAACCATTCATAGTGGAGCTCCCGTCCACATAAACCTTCCAGACTTGTTCTGAAATTTGAGAATCAGAGGGCCGAGTCATCTCTACTATAAAGTCAGCAAATGCATGCCCCTTCACTGCTTTTCTTGGCTCGAATGTGATTTCAAGGCTCTGTATCTCTATTGCCCATTTTATCATTCGGCCTGACGACTCCATGGTTATCAGGGACCGCTTGATCGGCTGGTCTGTGTATACCACAACCGGATGCGCCAAAAAATAGGCTTCAACTTTCTAACTGCCATGAAGAGGGCAAGGCCAAATTTTTCAACCAGGGGGTATCTTAACTCAGCATTCTTCAAGACATGAATGACAAAATAGACCGGGAGCTGGCGATCTTCCCTCTCAGCAAGGAGGACGGCACTTAAAGCATGATCAGACACTGCTAGATACATATAGAGCACTTCTTTGGGCAAAGGGCTGACCAGCCTTGGTAAGGAGTGCAAGTGTGCTTTCAGCTTTTGGAAGGCCGACTCAGCATCCAACCCCCATTCAAACATGGCTCTCTTTTTTATTGCTTGAAAGAAGTAGAGGAATTTGTGGCCTGCTCGGCTGAGAAATCTTCCCAGGGCTGCCAAACAACCTGTTAATTTCTGGACCTCTCGGACAGTGCGGGGCGACTACATGTCTATGACCGCCTGTACCTTCTCGGGGTTAGCCTCTACCCCTTTGATTGATAAGAAATCCGAGAAACTTCCCACACTCAACTCTAAAAACACACTTCTTGGGATTGAGCATGACATGATGCCGCCTGAGTGTGGTGAATGTTTCTCAGAGATCGGCCAAATGGTCCGCCTAGAGTTTGGATTTCACAATCATATCATCTATGTACGCCTCCACATTCCTCCCAATTTGGTCAAAGAAGACCGTGTTTATCATTCTCTGGAAGGTTGCTGGGGCGTTCTTCAAACCAAACGGCATGACCGTGTAACAATAGAGGCCCTGATTTGTGACAAAGGTCGTCTTCTCTTGGTCCTTCTTCCATAGGGGAATCTGATGGAAAACAGAGTAGGCGTCCATGAAACTCATCAAGGCATGACCGGCTGTAGAGTCAACTAACCAGAGTAGGCATCCTCTAGTTGATAAGCTCCTAGATCTCCCCTTTGAAGCTATTCATGAAGGTCATGAGTTCGCTTCTAGTGATGGGGGCAGATCCCTCGGCCGCCTGTTGTTGATCAAGCGGCTGGCCGGCTGGTTTACTAGATCCAGCCAAGCAGTCCTCTCGTTCCCTCCTTTCGGTGGGACGAGTGCGTCGAGCTCTGAGGGTCCCATCAGGGGCCGTGGGAGTCCCGACCTCAGTTTCACTGTCCGTATCCTGGTCTGAGTAGACTTGAGGGTCGTCCATGGGACGCTTCTCATTTTGATTTTGTAAAGACTGTGATTCCATCTCGAAAGTACTCTCCCCACAGACGGCGCCAAAATGTTGCGGGGTTTTTTTATGTCCTGCGAGAGAGTTACAATTTCGGGACTGGTATCCTTACGCTTGTACCTGCATAACAACGGAGACTCCGGGTGGTGGGAGCTCCGCCTCCGATGATCAAGTTAGTACTTGTATGTGGAGTAAAAAGGTGCGGAAAGTAAAGGGTGATCTGGTTCCTCTAGGGGAGGACTGATTAGGAAGTGCAATTAATTGCTAAGTCAAGTCTAGCAATCCGAAAGCACGTGTGTTTAAGCTTCTCTAGGTGAGAGTAATTATTTCTGAATCATCCTTTTACTTAGAATTAATGAATGTATTTATAGTCTTGGGAAGCGTGCCCAATCCTAGGTTTAGGTCAACCTAGAGCTTATTGGGCTTTTCCCGGAAACTAGGCCTAGGTGGCCATTTTCTTAGGTGGCAAACAGTAGGCCACTTGGCGTGGCATGATTTGTCCAAGCTGGACTGATCAATATGTGACACGTGTCAGGCTCTAAGTGGTCCATGTGACGGACACATGACAGGGCCTGATTGGTCCACGTGTCAAACTATGATTAGGCGGGGAAAATTCCCTAATCAAGGCTGATTTTCAAAGTCACACAGCGGAAGTCTAAAAATAAAAACCAACTTTCAGAAATAAAAATTGAGTTCACAACCTCAAAACAAAAGTAGAATAAATCTACACAAGTTGGAACCAATTCAAACATGGCCCTTCTTAAAAACCTCAAAACAAAAGTAGAATAAACCTACACAAGTTGGAACCAATTCAAACATGGTCATTCTTAAAAACCAATTAAAAACAAACACAATAACGTTAGCCCATAAACAAACGAATAATTCTAATATATCAAATTAAGAAACATAACAAGTAACTCTATGCACTCTATCCCATCATGCTCTTCATGCTTCAAGTACCTGTTACTTCCTCTTTATTTCAACCCTCTACTCACCATATAAATGGGTCATAGTAAGGCCAATCCAAAGGAAAGTCAAACACAAACACAAAAGTACGAATCAGGAAAAGCTGAGTACATATGCACCATACTAACATGAATATCCTAGCATCAAAATAAAATAATTAAAACATGATCGCCATACAATCAGAAGTCAACTTACCTTTGACTCATAACTAGCAATATTAATTATTAATAATAATTTTTGGATTACGCATCGAACGAGTTTCTTTCCTTGAAAATAGCCCATTTAAATATGGAGTTTCACCACTACTGGGAAACAGGCCATTTCCGACAGAAAAATTCCGTCGAAAACACCCTGAATTCTGTCGGAAAACCCGTTTCTAACGGAATTTCCGTCGGAACAGGTTGTCGTAAACATAGTTGTAGGAAAAACGGCCTTTTTCGTCAAAAAGTCCGTCGGAACAGTGTTTTCTGACGGAAGTCCGATGGAATTTTCTAGTCGGAAGAGGAGTTCCAACCACCGAAAAGTCCGTCGGAAATTTCCGACAGGATACAAATCCACCGGAAACTTCCGACAGAAATTTCGTCGGAAACAGCAATATAAAAAAATAAAAATAAAAACCTCCACCACCCCAACCACCCTACCCCGCCCTATCCAACCACCACTTCCCTACCCAGAAAATTACAAAAAAAGCCCCCTACCCTACACCATCACCACCCCACCACCTAACCTCCCCCTTAACCACCACCACCCACCACCAGCCCCCACCACTTACCACCAGCCCCTCTCCCTTCCCCGAACACCACATCCCCAATTTCCCCCACCACTCCACACCATCACCACCCCATCACCTAATCTCCCCACTCCCCGCCAGCCCCACCACTCCCTGCTAGCCCTACCACTCCCCGCAAGCCCCACCACGACAACCGTCCACCCCAAAAAAAAAATTGAAAAAAAAATATCCACAAAAACAGAAAAAAAAAATCCAAAAAAAATACAAAAATTAAACCAAAGAAATCAAAAAATACAATACAAAAATTAAACCAAAAAAATCGAAAATAAAATACAAACCAATCAAAACCATAAAAAAATCAATCAAATCGAAATTTAATTAGAATTTCATACAAAAATTAACAAAAAAAAACGATAATTATACATTAATAATTAAAGGAAATACAATTAACATTACAAATACATAAAAAACTAAGTAGATCTAAATCTAACATAAATTAAAACTAGATCTACAAAATAAAAACCTTGAGAGTGTTACGCCGTTGTTGTTGACGGTGGTGGTTGTTACGCCGTTGCTGTTGTTGTTGATGTTGGTTGACGGTGGTTGCCTTAGACGGTGGTTGACGGTTGTTGCTGTTGGTTGAAGTCATTGTTGTTGTTGGTTGAAGCCGTTGTTATTGTTGGTACGTTGAACACAGAGAAAGAAAAGAGGAAAAAGAAGAGAGAGAAAGAGAAGAGGAGATAGGAGAGGAGAAAGAGAAATGAGGAAAGAAGAGGTGAAGGAGAGGCGCATAGAAGGAAGAGGAGAAGAGGAAAGAGGAGAGGAAAGAGAAAGAGAAGGGAGGCGAGAAACAGAAATGAGAGCTTAGGGTTTGTCTTTTTATATTATTCATTTCCGACGAAATATTCCGTCGGAATCTTCCGACGAATTTTCATTCCGTCGGAATTGTTAATTTTCCGACGAAATGTAATCTTCCGACGAAACTTCAGACGGATTTTAATTCCGCCGGAAATGTAATTTTCCGACGAAATATTCCGTCGGAAACCCTTAATATTCCAACGGATTTTAATTCCGTCGGAAATTCTCGACGGAAAAAAAATCCGTCGGAACTTCTGACGTTTCTGACGGAATTACGTGTCCGTCGAAAGCAGTCTGTCGGAAATCGGCCTATTTCTAGTAGTGCACATCAGGGAGCTACCCCAATTGGCACCTACTATGTCACACTTGTGACATAATTCCTGCGCATAAATAATAAAAGAAAGTACAGCGACTTATACCCCTGTAGAAGCTATGGTTAAATATAAAACGCCATAACTCCCCCCATATGTTCATACTCAAGGTATATACGTTTCGAGAATTTTGGTGTGTATCCTCTTACACTTTACGTGATTTATCAATTTAACTTGTGATGACTCCAACCAACCAATCAAGAATAGACATGACAACAATCAACACATATTTCCAATTCATTCTTGAATTAATTAGTGAGCATATCCTATTTATTTTAATTAGGGTACCTTGCCTAGTTTTGTGCACAAAATTGCACGATTACTACCTTGGTGCATAAAATGCACTACTAAACTTCCTTGACTCGAACTCAACTTACATGAGCGAGTAAATAAATTAATTAATTTCTTAACTCAACACCAATAATAAATGGGTGAGAAATAAATTCATGAATCATACTCAATAATTCTAACTTTAGTTCTTTAATTCATATATAAGCCTTGCTTATTAAACACATGCCTTCTTGATACTTTAAAATAAAACATACTTCCATGATTCATACATATTCAACCTGTATCATGCCTCAAATAACATATTCACATGGTTGCATAACAATTCATGCTCAACCAACATCAATTCCAAGCATATAGTAAACCAAATATGCTACTAATTCATCACTTAAATCATACTTTACAATCCTAGCATGATACAATGCATACACAAATATTCTTGTGCACATACGTACCTTGAAAAATGCCTAAACTCGGCCACACTCGCTAGAAATCACCTAACTTGAAGCTTCCTACAAATAAGAATACATAATTATAGTTAATCTTCTATACTCACAAATTTCCAGCAACTATAATACACTTTAAACCTTACTAATCCACCCAATTTAATGACATAAAAGCCATAAAACCTTTTCTTTATTTGGGCACTTTAAATCCTTTCAAAATGACTTAGTTTTTAAGACTTAAAAAAAAATTCAGCATACTTATTTAATATAAAACATCACTAATAGACTAGGAAATCATATTTAAATCATTATAACCTTTTTCCCTTTAATGGGTAATCAAACCCTAACTCAATTATTAAAAAGTAGTGTGCATAAATAAATTCCAGCATTAATTTGAGGGCTTTAAACTCATTAAAAATATGTTTAAACCATTAATTAAACAACAACAACAACCTAGGATCAAACCCTAACCATAAACAATAAATTCCCAAATTCCAGGGTTTGTAAATTAGGGTTTTTGATTGAATTAAAATCTGAAAATTATATGAATAATTTAACAACATCAAATACATAAGATTAATACCAAAACACAATCAAAATCATGCTTTAAAATAATAAAACAATAGAATTAAATTAGGAAGAGAAAATAGTTTTTTTTTTTTCTTTTTTTTTATGTACTAAACCGCAAAAGAGGGGGAAAGAGGAAAGAGAACCGGTGGCCGGCTGGTGGCGCCAGCTGCTGCTATTGGCCGCCGGTGATCACTAGTCGGTGGTGGAGCTAGTGGTCCTCCGGTGCGCCGGTGGGAGAGAAAAGAGGAGAGAGAGAGAGGCGTGAAAGGAGAGAGAAAAAGAAAGGAAAAAGAAAGAGAAAAAGGAGATAGAAAATAAAGAGAAAACTTTTGGGATTTTTGTGAAATTTGACAATTATGGTTTATGAGCGAAAAACCCTGAGGTTTTGAATTATTTATACTTCCCTTTTAAAACAAAAACTCATAATTACAAAAATGGCATTACTAAATCCTACTCCCCCTTAACTTCTTTCTTTGGGGCCAACTTGTTGGGCTCTTAAGTTTCTTTAATTTCCCAACTAGTTGATCCAACTATTTAAATAAAGATGACCCAATTCAAAACACTTTTTATTGTCTAAATTAGTGACTCGTATTATTTTATACACACTTACATAATATTTAAATAATTAATTTCTTTTAAAATGAAATGAATCATTTTGATTTATAAAAATAACTAAAATAAATAGTTTTTATATATAAAAATACGAAGTATTACAACAAGGTGGTAACAACTACCCCCCCCCCCATAAAGGCAAAAAGAGACTTGAAAATGTGGGATGTGTTGCTTGATAATTTGGAGGTGGAGAAAGATTTAGTAGAGGAAGCTGTGCAATACCTTAATGAGAGGCTAATAGCACACCAAGAAGTGGATTATCATGCTGTGAAATACCTTAATGTGGGATTATCATGCTGAGCAAACACACCAAGAAGTGGATGTTGATTAACCATTTAAGCAAGAACTGAGCAAGCAAAGACTGCCACATAACCATCTTTTGCTTAAGCATACGAGAGGGACTCAAATATGATTTGGTTATGTGTGTAAACAAAGGTATTTTGTGCATCTTTAGTTTATTTTTTATTTTTTTAATTTTTAGTGGTTTGGACATCTTTGAATCTTAAAGGCAGTTAGTCATGTAGTGATAGCTATGGTTAGATTAGTGTGTAATTTGTGCTTAATGAATGATATATATTTAATGAAAAGAGCATTTTGAATTTCTGCATGAATGACATTCTAGCACATTCAGGTCATAAGAGAATGGTTTAAAGGTTTATGTACACATTGAACCAATCATGAGTGACATCCTAAATCCATCAGAGAGATTATGATTTCATCACAAGAAATGAAATCCTGTTTGTTACCTCAACAATGTTAAAATTGGAGCAAATCAAACAGGCCATTTCAAAATCAGATGAGTCCCCTCATCATTTAGATTTAGTAACAAGAATGATCTCTTAAATTGAATCATTGAGATCTTATGGACTCTATATTGCAAAAACAGACCACAACAAAGGGACTCACTTAGCATGTTTAGGACATGGTCCCTTAAAGACTTGTCATCGAGACCAAATTCATACATTTAGCATTGTCATCATCCATCAACCACCACAACCCCAATAAGGACTCCTAGGGACTCACAAAGCATGTATGTGCTCACAAAGCACAGGGAGTCACGAAGCACAGGGAGTCATAAAGCATGTAATCACAAAGCACCGGCAACCAAATCAAGCACACAAAATCAATCGAGCAAATCAAATACCAACAGTAAAAACAATCTCAGTCCACCAAATCAAATACCTACAAAAATTCAGTCCAACAAATGATCAAATACCAACAGCAACAACAATCTCATTCCACTAAATCAATTACCAACCAAAATTCAATCCAACAAATGATCAAATACCAACAACAAATTATAATTCAGTCCACCCAAATTAAATACCAATAGCAACCAAACTTCAGTCCACCAAATCAAATACCAGCAGCAACAACAAACCAAATACCAACAGCAACAACAAATCAAATACCAGCAGCAACAACAAACCAGGGACTCAATTTCACAATGCCCCAACAATTAACAATTACGGTAAAAAATAATCAATATAAATAAGGGTTCAAAAATCGTCACCGGAGGAGGGTCAATTTTCCCCTCATTTAAAGATGCAGCAGGGTCGGTTTTTCCCACATTCAAAGCAGCAGGAAGGTCGTTTTCCCCCTCATCGTCTACAGTAACAATTTTTGCCCCCTTCCCTCGCAACTTCATGATTGTTTGGCAGGACATTCTTGGAGTTAAGGGCAAGATAACAAAAGATCTTCGCTTTTTCGCCCTTCACTGCTCGTGGGTTTCGTATCTTCCAAAACCCTCTTTTTTTTCTTCTCCTCTTCTTCAGCATCAATAGATCTGAGAACTTTACCCAGAGCGATGAAAGAATTTTCGCTCAAAACATCACCCAACTCCCCAGAATTGTAGAATCTTCTAGGCCACAAAAACCCATCTTCAAGCGCATCGTATATATCATCAAGAAACTGGATTTTTCTTTTCGTCCTCACTTGCGAAAATAGCGTGGGCAAGATGCTCGAAATCTACCATTTTTGTGGGACTCAAAAAACGCAGATCTACTCAATTTTTGTGAAACAGAGAAATGGATTAACAAGGACAAAGAGATAGAGAGTGAGTGAGATAATAGATGAACCGAGTGAGAAGTGAGGGGTGCTTAATGGAGATCTGCTCAAATCTGCTCGTTTTTGAAGAGAGAGAAACAAGGAAGATGAAGAACAAGTAGAGTTAAGGTTTAATTTATGGAAATAGCAATTGAAGGCTGATGAATTAATGAGTTAGTTGGGAATTGGAATAAAGAATTAAATTTGGCGGGAATTGTTAGATAAATAATGTTAGATTAGTAATTTAATTAGTTTACCGTTTAAAATCTAATTGGGGTCATTAAATTCTAAGTAAGGGTATTTATGTAATTTTATTTTCAAAAAACTTACTAAAAATGACAAAATTGTGAAAGTTGCAATAAATGTGTAGCGGATGTTTTTGACAAAAGTTGCAAAAAACTTGAAACGGAGATGGTAATACTATTGTAAAAATCAATATTGCGTTCAAAGTACCCACGTATTAAAATTAAGAAAATCTGCCACCACCCCTTGTCCTATTCTACATTCCTTAATCTCTAAGTTCTATCTTAATGTTTAAGGGAAGTAGGAGCATCGTTTCACAGATGCACGATTTTAAATGTTCACAGAGATCAAGTTCAAAGGGCAAATGACATTGCTAGAAAATGACGGATTAACCTTTCTAATTTGCTGTAGGGGTGTTTGTTCTCATTTGCTATTGTCAAAAAAAAAAATTAAAAAAAAAAAAAAATGGCTATCGTAATGTCATCATTGTTATATATTCCTCGGATTATCTAATAAAAAATTAAGATTAGTAGTAGTAGTAATTGGGCACAAGAAATTAAAGCTGATCACTCTGCTTATCATTGTTATTTTTATATTGGCTTAACTAATGAGAAATGGCCGTCCGTAGTACGAGTATTATCCTAATTAATATCCTACTAAAAAATTGTCCGTCCGGACAAATGTACTATCATCCAAATTCTTGGTCAAGCTAAACTTGAAAGATTTATTTACTGGAGATGGAATTACTATCTTATTTCATGAAGAATTAATGTTCATATTGTGTCATACGCATGCATCATCCAACATCATCTACTTCAGCCGTTTTTTATATTTAAAACACTTTCCTAAAATAAAATGTCAAATTAATGCTTGCAACGCATTATAATTGAAATTTTTTTTCATTAAAAGTTGTACTACTTCCTCCGTTTTTTTTATTTGTATCATTTGGGATTGCACAGAGTTTTAGGAGAATAATATAATATTGTGAGTGGATGAATAAATTATTAAAGTAAAAGTAAGATGGGGACAATGATAGAGAAAGTATGTGAGAGAGGATAGATATTTTTATTATTTAAGTGGAAACTATAGAAAAGAGAGAAATGATAAAATAATTTGAGTGGGGTTAAAAGTAAGAGAGAGCAATGATAAAATATAATATAAAATTACCAAAAATAGAAGTGATGCATTTAAAAAAAAGCACCCATAAAAGAGAAGTAATACAAGTTTTAAAAAAAAATAAAAAATAAATAAAAAATATCGGAGTATTATCCTTTATTTAATCTCATTGCCCACTAATTCATACTCCTAACAATCTCTCACTCACATATTAAATGTATTAAATCATGAGAGACCCAATTTCATAAATACTATGATAAAGTGTGTGTTGCAAGTATTAAAAAACGAATAAAGTATGACTTTGACTTTTGGCTTAGCTAGAGTTGGTTGTCTTTAAAAATATGGATGTCATCTTTTAGTATTGTGATCCCATTAAGAGTATTAACTCTTAAAAGCTAATGTTGTATTGCAGAAAAGTAGAAAACTAATTAACTAGTTAAATACAGATCTCTAAGTCTTGGGATTTATGTTGAAAATGGACGTGAAGATTGGAGTTAATGAGGCAACAACACCTGCATCTGATGAAACACAGCAAAATAAAAAGGAAGAATATAATGATGAAACTATTAATAACAAAGTCCCATTCTACAAACTGTTTGCTTTTGCTGATTCTTCTGATAAGGTATTGATGATTATAGGCTCCATTGATGCTATTGCAAATGGTGTATCTATGCCGTTGATGGCGATCCTCGTGGTTGACTTGGTGGAAGCTTTTGGCCAAAATCAGAATACCAAGCAAGTTATTTATGCTTTCTCACAGGTAAATTGATTATATTGTTATTACTTTGTGTTGACCCTTTTAATTTTGATGGACAAATTGACAAACTTGACTAACGAGCGTTTTAAGTCTTTGGTGAATAAAGGGTTCAAGCAAAGTTCGTTCCGCAGTAGGAACCTGGATACGGAGTAGCATTCTCTAAAAAGCCTCATGCAAATCTCACGTTCTAGTTTTTAATTGTGAGCACTCAATAATACAAGTTGGAAAGGAACTCAATGATTTATGTTTAAGACTACTGGAATATAAAAATTAGTTTTAAAAAGATAATCTTTTTTTTGAGCAAAAGATAATTTATAAATGTTTTATCTAGTTTACTATTTTCAAATAAAGATAATTAACCTAAATTAATTATCTTAGTTGTTTTTAAATAATTAAATAATTTATAAATTATCTTTTCAAAATAAAATCTTTTTAAATCCTTTAATAACGGAATATTTGATTAAGTCAAATATTATTGCATGAATATCTCAACAAAGTTGTTTTTTCCAGAAACTATATTTTAGCATGTTGATTGCTATGTGGATTAAAGGAGAGATTTAAGAAATCTCCACTACCTTGATCATAGTCACATTCTCCACTATTAGTTAGTGGGTGTTGACTGGCAAGTGGTTGAGGGGTGTGGAGGTTAAGGATTAAATCTCCCTATTTAAAGCACGACCATATTCATTGCAAAATACAACTCTTGAGCATAAAAATTCCAGTAGCTATCTAATAAAATAAAGAGAGTTATTTTCCTTCATATATTCTTGAGTGTAATAGGTATTTGTAATTGCAGATTGTATTCAAGCACTTTGGGGTTTGGGATTGTGAGTTTGTGTAAGGTGAGGTCAAGGAAGCTTCGCTGCTGAAGTCTTCTGTTAGAGTTGGGAACAAGTTCCTAGTTTACGGAACTTGTTAACGGTTTTGAATCTTCACTTGTAAAGAGTTTGATTACATAGTGGAAATTTAGAAAAGCCTATATCTTCTCTTGTCATTATTTCATTTAGTTAAATTCCGCAAAAGTTTTTAGATTTCACCTCAAATACAATTCACCCCCCCTCTTGTATTAGCCAGTTAGACTTTCAGTTGGTATCAGAGCGGGAACTCAGAAAACGCAAGCAACCCTGTTGAGCAAGTTCCTGGGAAAATGGCTTACACAGAGGAAAAGGAATTCGGGAGTACATCCATTCAAAGGCCTCCATACTTCAACGACAAATGCTACTCTTATTGGAAGGATAAGATGGTAATCTTTGTCCAAGCAGAGAACTATCAGATATGGCGGATTATACAAGTAGGAGATTACGAAATTACGAAAAAGAATGCTAACAATGAGGTAATCCCTAAACCTATGGATGAGTATGAAAAAACTGATTTCGAAAAATTAGAAATGAATGCTACTGCTAAAAAGTTTTTAATTTGGGGACTTGGACCCGATGAACATACTCGTGTCAAAGGGTGCAAGTCCGCAAAGGAAATTTGGGATCTTCTGGAAGTTACACATGAAGGAACGTCAGATGTTAAACGTTCCAAAATAGACATTCTTTTATCTCAGTATGAGCGCTTTGAAATGGTAAACAAAGAATCTATTAAAGACATGTTTACTCTATTTAAAAGTATTACTAACGAACTAACGTGTCTTGGTAAGATAATTCCTATAGATGAGCAGGTCAGAAAGGTCTAAAGAAGTCTTCCAGAAAATGACAGATGGAGAGCAAAGGTTGCAGCTGTGCAGGAATCAAAAGACTTCACCAAGTTCAATCTAGAACAGCTTGCGGGTTCCCTCATTACCCACGAGATCCAGTTGAACAACCGGACTCAGGAGACTGTCAAAAGTCAAGGGCTAGCACTAAAAGCAAATGAATAATCCGAAGAGAAGTCTGACATTGATGAAGAAGAAGATGCAATGTTGGTGAGAAGGCTGAAAAAATTCTACTGTAACAACAAGTTTTCAGACAAGAATAAAGGATACAGTAAAAGAAATCAGGAATCCAAAGCCAAGTCTTCTTGTCACAAATGTGGAAGCACCAACCACTTCATCAAAGAGTGTCCATTATGGGAATCTAAGAAAGGCAAGGGAAAATAAGCTGATCAAAACAGAAACTCCAAGCCTAACTTTTCTAAAACAAATTTCAGGAAAGCTATGATTTCCACGTGGGGAGAATCAAGTTCCGAAGAAGAGGAACAGGAACACACTGATGATGAAGTAGCCAATCTCTGTCTAATGGCGAAGCATGATGATGAGGTAGTCATTCAACCTAGTTATTTGAAATCTCTCTCAAAGGATAAATTAATCTCTTTATTGTTAAAACCTTAGATGATTATAAAGAATTATGTGAAAAACTAAGGCAAGCCGAAAAGGCAACTGGAATTAGTAGAGATCATGTCAAGTATCTGAATAGCTCAAGAAATGATGTTCAAGGCAGATTTTTTGAATTATTAGATAAGAATATCATGCTAAAAGAATCCCTTGAAAGAGTCAAGAGTGAGAATATCATGCTGAATGTTGAATTGACTCAATATAAAATGTTGTGTACTAACATTGATTCTTGCAGGTCTACTGAAGTTCCTTTAATCATGTTCAATACTGAGTTAGAACATGTTAAGAAAGAGTTAAAGGATACTAATGATAAAAATGCGAAACTAGAAAAGGACTTAGAAATTGCAAGAAAAAGTAAAAGTACAGCAAACATGGATGTTCCTAAGTGGGTACAGGAAGCTCAGACAAAAAGAACAGAAGGTCTAGGCTATGTTCATAAGAAGAAGTCCACTGGAAAGAAAAAGAAGTATGTGGATTTGCCTAGTGAGACCGTTTGTTCTTTTTGTGGTAAAAAGGAACATCGCAGTGAAGAATGTACTAAGAAAGCAAATCAGTACAATAAGAATGTGAACTATGTTTGGCAGAAGAAAACTGATTCAAATGTGTCAACACAGGAACCCATGAATGAAAGGGTTCCTGCTACTAACCCTTAATTTCTTTTGCGGGTCGCAGTGAGGGGGAACAACCAGTGGTACCTCGATAGCGGTTGTTCTAAGCACATGACAGGAGATGAATCCAGATTTCTCTCACTGACGGCCTATACAGGGGGAACAGTGACCTTTGGAGACAATAAGAAAGGCAACATTGTTGCTGTTGGCAAAGTAGGAAGGTCAAGTTCCCATGCAATTGACAATGTATTTTTAGTCGAGGGTTTGAAGCATAATCTACTCAGTATTTCTCAGTTTTGTGATAAAGGAAACTCTGTAAGC